GCATCTCCAGCAAGCTGAAAGACCATCACTAATTGAACAATTATGTGGCATTGAATGTGCACACATAAGTATAAAAACAAATAAAATGAGATTTGAGACTAAGAAGTAAAAATTGCAGCTAAGCCGCTTGATGCCACAATGCATGGCAGGATACACCACACTTGAACAAGCATATGTATAGAAACAAGGTGATAAGACGCTCTTGCTGTGCAAGTGTGCTCATGTATGAATAAGCAAGTGAATGCTTAGTGTGGCATGCCACACTTGGCATACAATTTCAATGAATGTTTGTCAAATCGATTTGTGGCAAAATATGATCGCGCCGAAAGAAAATGCGTGTGTCAATAAATAACCACCTGCTGAGCTGTGCTGCGCTCTAGCACATCGGTAGCACATCGGAAGCGTGTAAGTTGAAGATGTTAAAGGGAGTACAGTTAGCGCTAAGGCAAGAATTAAGAAATCGAAAATAGCGTTTGTGACCTTGAACCAAAGAGCAATATGTGATAAACAACTCCTGTGTTGTGTTAAGCCGTCACTAAAAGGTAAGCTAACTTTGGTACAGCCACTTCTACATATTATGTCGATCGGCCATTGTTGGCTTCAGTTCACAGCAACCGTTCATTAGCAGGTATGTGTTTTGGTACAAGCTTAAAATGTCATCAATAGAATTTGCTTTCTTTGGCACACAAAGACATCTCAAATAAAGGGAAATTTCCACTGAATGATCCACCCAAAATTCCGACCATATGAAGGCCAAACCAGGTAAGAGCATAGAAGAAAGCCGTAAAGGGTTATGCCGGAAACAGAGTTACAATGCAATGCAGCTTGAGTGCCACCGAAAACTTCTTTTGTCATACGTTAGACGGTAGATGTTTGGACATTGAATTTTATGATTTATTAACTTATTTTGATTGTAACGATAAATTAGTCATTTGTGTCCCACTATTGTAATTATTTTGATTTTATATAATTTGTTAATTTTGTTTTATTTTTTCATTTCGTTTTTAATAATTTAATTTTTTTTTTGTTATGTAACAGAAAATTTATAGCTTTATTATATATAGTTATCAATTAATTAGTTGTGTATGCTTACAAATTGTATAAAAAAGAGTTATTTGCATCAAATATCGGGTAGTCGAAAAATTCTTTTCGTATTTTATCAATAGATGCCGTTGCAGTCGTATATCTCCAGTGCTACCAATCACATTTTGTCTTACCATGTAGTGTTGAAAAGCTGAGATTTAAAGCTTCATTAAAAAAAATTAAATTCGGGGAAGTTGAAAAAAAGTTTTAGCTGTTCAAAAATGAGTGAAAATGATGAAGAAATTCGCTATACTTTCTAATTATAAGGGAATAATGCCACACTGGAAATTTCGAAATTTCGATTTACACTGATGGAATAATGTCTCTAGCAGGAAAAATGGCAAAAATAAATCGACCGAAATTGTACAGATTTGCTTACTTATTTACATATAAGTATAAATATAAAAAAATAAGTTTAAGTTTGATTAGAAATACGAAAAGACTTTTCCAACTACCCAATATTATAAAGGGTGATTTATTTCGAGATTCCCTACTTTTTTAAAGAAAATTCACAGAAACTTAAAATTTAATGGGGAATGTTTTTTTATCAATTCTTTGTCATTTATTTTTTGGAAGATTATCTCTTTCAAATGTTGTGCAGGTACGTCTCAGATGGTCCATCTGTTAAGTTTAATTTACGATGACCCGTTTGAGCACTTTGACTAGTAACTGGCGTATGACTTGCGTGTTGTTTTGCTCCAAGGACTGAATCGAAGCGGATTATCTGCATAAACTTTACACTTTGCATATTTCAAAAGGAAAAAGTCTAACGGTGTCATATCACATGATCTTGGAGGAAATTTATTCGACCTAAAACGTGAAATCAGCTCAAAAAAGTGTACTTTGAATGCAGTGTGGCCGTCTTGTTGAAACCGAATGTCGCCGAGATTACGAGCTTCAATTTCAAGCATCAAATAATTGGTTATAATGGCACGATAGCGTTCGTCATTGACGCCAACGTTTTCGCAGGCATCATTTTTGAAGAAATGTGAAACGATGATTCCACAGGCTCTCAAAGCACATCAAACCGTTATTTTTTCTGGATAAAATGGCAGATCTTGAATCTCTTCAGGTTGCTCTTCGTCTCAAAAACGGAAGCTTCGCTTGTTTATATACCCATTGAGTCAGAAAACTTCGGATCTTCTTGAAGCTTTTCAACAGCTGTATTTTCTATGCTTTCAATTTAAGATCTGGATGTAAAATACACCAAGTCGTTCCATCATTACCTTAAGAATATAAATTAATGATTTAAATCATTTTTATACCCCAAACATTGTAGGGTTTCGTAAAGTTTATATGGTATAACATGGTCTGTTTATCTGTTTATACGCAAACCAATCCCTCAGGTTTTTAGACATCGATTAGAAATTTTATATTCGTCCTTTGCCCTTCAAGAAGTTTATACCTATTTCTTTGAGTATTACTTATTTGACAAGATGATTTTGCGAAATCGAAGTCTGTCTGTCCGTCCGTACAAGTTGTAACTTGAGTAAAAACTGTTATATCGAAATTGGGATGTATGTTGCTGGGCAAAAAAGTGGGGTTGAGTTCGTAAATGTGCGTAATCCCACCACTGCCATGCCCACAAAACTTCATTAAAATCTAGTGTCATAACTAAGCATTAAATTAAGATATAGAACTGTTTTTTAACATAGCAGATCGCAGTAGCAAGGATCATTTGTGAAATAATCAAATTCGCTCAAGATAAATGCGATAAGAACGCTTAAAGACAGTGTGAAACTGAAAAAAATCGGATTACATTATTAAAAATTACTAAAAGCACGATAAATAAATAAGCAATGTCAAAAATTGAACAAAGGGCGTGGAATCGTGCTATTTTAGGTGATATCACATACCTCGGTAACCTGATCGTCCGATTTCAACCAAATTTAATATATAACATTTTTATACCCTGAACAGGGTATATTAAGTTTTTCACGAAGTTAACACCCAGAAGGAAGGGTCGAAGACTCTATAAAGTATATATATAAATGATCAGTATGTCGAGCTGAGTCGATTTAGCCATGCCCGTCTGTCTGTTCTTCTGTCTGTCTGTCTGTATATATACGAACTAGTCCCTCAGTTTTTAAGATATCGTCTTGAAATTTTGCAAACATCATTTTCTCTTAAAGAAACTGCTCATTTGTCGGAACTGCCGATATCGGACCACTTTAGCATATAGCTGCCATACAAACTGAATGATCGGAGTCAAGTTCTTGTATGGAAAACTTTCACATTTCACAATGTATTTTCACAAAAGTTGACACAGGTTATTTTCTAAACCAACAATGTAATCACCGAAGAAGTTGTTTAGATCGGTTAACTATAGCATATAGCTGCCATACATACTGAATGATCGGAATCAAATGCTTGCATGGGAAACTTTCTCATTTGACGATATATCTTCACGAAATTGGGTATGAGTTATTGTTTATACAAATCGGCTCACTATAGCATATAGCTGCCATACAAGCCGAACGATCGGAATCAAGGGCTGGTATGGAAAAGTTTCGCATTTGACGTCGTATCGTCACGAAATTTGGCATGGATTACTGCTTAAGGTAACAATATAATCTCTAAAAAAATTGTTCAGAACGGATTACTATAGCATATAGCTTCCATACGAACTGAACACATAGTTACTAACAGAAATGCACCTCTGAAGGGTATTTAGTGGTGTAACCGAAGATAACGTTTTTTCTTGTTTTAACATTCCTTTGCCACAACCTACAACCAATCTTACTTTCCATATAACAAAATTTACTTTCGACTCTTTCATTTTCCAGTATACAAATCAAGAAGAAATCAATATAAAATATGGGTCAATGTGTGAGATATACAATTGCAATTCAGGGATTATACTTTCCTTTCAAGGGTATGTCTCTATGTCAAAAATGGGTTGAATCGGGTCAATACTTTCCTTAGCTCTCATATAATACAACGATTTTCGAAGTTTCTGGCGACTTCATACCGCATATAGTATATCGGCCCATATGTTTATCTCAATGAAAATGAGACAGCGTGTTTTACTCATAACAGTGTATCTTTGTGCCTATCCGTATAATGGATAAAATTTAGTGCCCCATGACCTAGCTCTCATATAACTAATATCATGGTTTTATAATTTTACTACATATGTGAGGAACATTGATGAAACCTTGTGAACATTTTCTTAGCCTGTGGCTTTTTAATTATCATGTCAATACTATCTCGTATATACCTACTATAACCTCTTAAAACTTTCGTTAAAATTAACGTATTATATTGGTTTTACTATAGTTTAATGACAAAAGTATATGAAAATGGTTTAAGAATTACCCAAATTCCCATAGAGTACTCCATATAATTATTTTTATTACATGAAGAAATTGTATGCCAAATATGATGGTCACTGTATGAGTTATGTACCTAAACAGTGACTAGCAATACCGTTCGGCGGTCTGTCAAATTTTTGAATTGGTGTAAAAAAGTAAATAATAATCCGATTTCAATGAAATTTTTAGTTTTAAAACGTTGTTTTATTTACTTTAAATGTATAAAAAAAATGAAGAAAAGGGACATAAATCAATAATTTCATATGCAAACCACAAACACTAAATGATTTACGGGTAGTTTTTCTAACAATACTAACAAAACAACCGGTGTTAGTAAAGCAACAGGCATTTTGGAGATCTGAAGCATACATCTAAAAGAGTGAAGGAGTGGCTTGAAAATCAACAAAAGCAACCCAATTGAGAATTTGTGGGCTATTGTGAACCGAACTCTGTCATAGCACAAATTTCACCCAAAAAATTTGAATGAGCTTTGGGAGTGTGTCAAGAAAGTCTAGATATATATGGAAAAGTATGCCAAAACGAATAAATAGTGTTTTAAACAGAAAATATCTTTAAAATATGTAATAGCTAGTGTGTACTTACGTTGGTGTGCATAACTGGACGCATTAGTTTTGATTATCTTATAAAATTATTGGCTAATGTTTCCCTTTCAGTGTATAAATAAAATTGCTTGGATTCCGTATCTCTGTTTGACGGTTTTTACTTTAAGATATTGGTTTTGGTCCAGTCAAGTTGCAAAACCTTACTTACTTGTTTTTTATTTACTTTCTTACTTGTTTCAACTTTATTTGTTCTGCTCTACATATAAGCCTTTTGATCATGAATTTACTCTACGACTTAAAGTTCGAAAAGCGGTACTTTGCTATTAGAAAAGTGTGAGTGTATTGCCACATGAAGAAATTTCTTGATTGTGTACCGTTCGGGTAAGTTTGGTATTTTGGTTTCAAATTTGTTGGAGGACCGTTTCTATAATAAGCAATTCAAAAAAAATTTTTTTTTTTTAATTTGAATTTTACCCAAAGTTGCTGTTGTACTTGGCCCGCCAAAACCAGACTTTGGGTAATAACTCCGCTTAGAAGAAAAATGCGTTTAAAAATAAAGCGATAAAGCTGCTTAAACCGAGTGGTCACACTTGGAAGCTTTACATCAAAAAATTTTTACTTTTTAAATTTTAAATTGTATATCGTCATCTAAAATGCAAAACAATGTATCATCAAAAAATCATAATTATTGCTTTAATTTCAGCTTCTGTCAACTATAACCAATATTTAACCGATATGTAACCATTTCATAACCAAAACTCAAATTTTCAATATGAGTGTATGATAACCATAAGCCATATATAACCATTTCATATCCAAAACTCAAATTTTCAATATATATGGTTTGTATTATATCGTTTTTCTTTCGCCTGTAAACTTCTGAAAAGTGATGTTACGTTGTTATTCATATATAACTTAAAATTTTATTTTCTACAATTTTTTTTAGGTTCTTTAAGTATTAATAACAAGCATTAGCAATTTATTTTAGTTATTTAAAACTTTTAATTTTTTATTATTTACCAAGCATTTAAAATTTAATATTAAGTAATTTTATAACAATGGAACTATGGGTTAATTTATCGTATATTTTACTTAAATTTATCATACATTTATAACTAATGGTTATACTACTGCTATCTCTTTTACTTACGTTAATTAAGCTATTAAAATAATATATATTTATATTGAGAGTATCATAACCGTTACTTGCCTACAGAATTAATAACATTTAGTTTATCACGCCGTTGGATATGAGTTAAAAGAAGGTGTTGATATTAACTAATTTTTTTTTTAAATTAAACTAAAATTATGTGAAGTTATTAATTGTGAATATCTTATTATATTATATGTTATTTGTTTGAAAATAATTTTTGTCAATTAGACCAATAAATTTGAGTTAAAATGAAGTTTTTTATTTTTTCTAATTATTAATACATATTTTGAACTATTAACTTATACTTTCAATAATGTTAAAATTTTTATTACATTTTTTATTTATACTTTGATCTGACTAACTACCTGTGAAAAGTGAAATTTAAAAGTATGAGCTGTACTTATGGGCAAAACGTCAGGAAATATGTAAACAAATCGAAAAACAAAACAACAACTAAAACGAAAACGAAAACAACATCAGCATATGAGCGAGGATCGCTACGAAGGCTCTGCTAGTTTAGAATGCAAGGCGTTAACGAGTCGCTGCCGCGAGGACAGCTTGGTGCGCACGAAAACGTAAACAAGTGCAGAACAATACTTATTTGTGTCAAAATTGGCTAATGGATTGGATGTTGTTTTGCAAAAACATGTTTAGAAGAGAATCCCTGAAAAATAAAAATGAAAATGTAAACAAATGTTTTGTTTGGAATGTCGTTTTGAGCGTTGTTTTGCGAAAACATGTTTAAAGGAGAATCCCTGAAAAATAAAAACGAAAACGTAAACAAGTCTTTGTTTGTCCTCTGAGCGTTATCAGCTAAGAATGTGTGGCACTTTTCAAATGTGCTGATATCGCAACATTTTGTGGCATATAAATTGGTGCGGCCGAGGGCTAGCTAGATCATTACTAAGAATTTAAGCATTGTGACAACACATTGACTGTGCCGTGAAAAGAATTCAGAAGAAGTACCAAATCATTTCGTAGACATTTTCCACAAATTCGCAAGAAGTTAAAAGTGTTAACTTATTTCAAAGAAACTCGTGCAAAAAACAGCTCAGGAATATGGATCTATCTATGCATGAGAAAGCCGTGGACTATCTCTATCGCCACAAGAAGTTCGATCATGGCAAGCGTCCACGTGAAGAAGATGTATTACAAGAGCTGAATCAACTCAATCGCGACGGACGCTCGCCAGCGAATGCAATATTGCTCAATCCACACTTTTATGGTGTTGAGCGCGTTTCTACACCATTTTCCACCGACTCGAATTGCTCTTCTGAATATACGGGCTTTGTGACGCGCTGCAATGCCACCAGCACGCCAAGCAGCAAGAGGCCACGCCTTATATCCAGTGGTGCATGTGGCACATCCAATCCGAGCAGCGAGGATAGCGGCGTCGTCACATTAACACCTAAGAAAGTGGTGACAGTCAACGAGTCCCAACCCGGTCAACAGCGCAAACGTCTGCTAAAGCCATCGTTGCTCGCACAACCGCCGATGAAGAAACAAAAGGCTGTGCAAGCCGGTGCAGCGAAACAGACTTACACTACATCCAAAAACCCGGGTAACAACAGCAACTCTGGTGACAACAGCGCCACTAATCCTATCACCGGCAGCAGTGCTATTAATGTGTCCACCAACACAAGCGCCATTAACACCTCGGCTAACAAGGGCATCAAAACATACTTGTCGAACAAAAGTGTTAGCCCGGTGAGTGCCAACAGCATTAAAGCGGTACTGAAGCCCACAGAAGTAGGCACCTTGGAGTTGCCTAAAGGCGCTGATTCCCTCGTCAACAACAGCGATCCTCAATTGGACGCCAACTCTGTATTGTCACGCATTAGCGAGGATAAGCTGCGCAGCATTTGCACTTTTCATACGAATATGGTGCGCCAGTTTCCGAAGAAAGAGCGTTCGCCCAAGGATCAGGAGCGTCGCAACAAAAACACAATCGCTTGCCGTATGAGTCGTCGTATCAAAAAGCTGGAACAGATCGCTGTCGAAGAAGAATGTAAGGAGCTAGAACAGCGACATGAGGCAATGACGGAAGAGATATTGCGTGCTACAGCTTATCTGGAGCAATTGGAGCTGTTAATGGCACAAACACAAATTTCCGACGACGAAGATTCCGAAATCGATGTCGTTAATGTTGGCGATGAGAATGACACTCCGGCTACGGCAAGCGCTTCGAAGCTGAACAACAAGCCTGTTGGTGTGCCTATGCAGCCGCCACTTGTTACGCGACCTGCCAGCAGCATAAAGCCTCATCCTTTCTCGATCGCAGGCCTATTGGGTAATCTGAGCCCAATAAATGCGTGAATACACAGCTTCTGGTCGAAGTAGGGATAACTTAGCAGTAAGCATTAAAATAGTTTTACTTAATTATATATATACTTGTACTAGATGTTACAGTTAATGTTTTGATTCGAGAAATCCATTTGAAAAATTTTCTGGTTTATGATAAGATTTAGAGACATTAAGCTAAGATTATGTTTGTATTACAGTATAGCATTTATGTTTTTAAAAATATTTATTGAACTTTCTTAAAGTTTAACCTATATCTACTGTATTTAAGAAAATGTTATTTATGTGCATATGCTAAGCCTGGTTGTGTTAAAATATTTAGTATAAATAAAAAGAAAAATTTGTTTGCAAAAGTATACTTTGTTTGAAATATTTATATATTTATAGGGAAAAAATTAAAACGTAAATATGAATATAAAAAAAGAAGAAAGCATTGTTATCCATCTCTTGTAGGGCTGAGAATTTTATCTTTTATATGGTGGGCAAAAAATAGTAAGACTTTTTAATTTAACTCGTTAATAACGAACAGGTGCCTGAGGATCGACGATTAATAGTCAGAGACCTCACTAGCACCGTTGGAATATCGGAAGGATCAGTGAAAACCATTTTGAAATATCATTTGGTCATAAGAAAAGTGAAAGCCCTATTGGTTAGAAAATCACTTAATTTTTGCGAAAAGGAGCGGCGCACTGGGGCCGGTTTTCCTGAAAAGCTGGCCAAAACCCGACGTTTTATTTTTTTTTTGCAATTATCAAGTTAAAACTTAAAAAATCTTCAAAGCAATTGAATTTCTTCCTGACCGGCTAAAAGGTCAAAAAAGAATACTATTAGGTTCTTAGGAATAAATTAAAAAAGGTCTTAATATTTTCCGCTCACAGTGTGAAATTAGTTAACATTTTCTGAATTGCAATAAGCACCTTCGATGTGTGAGGAGTAAAACATGTCCGATGTCATGATCACCTCCTCTTGTTATATTTTCTTATCTCTCAAAAATCATTTATAAGATTTACTACATATAATACCGTCATCATATCCCGTCTAGACTTCTACTTTTCTTAGCCACTTCTCTACTTACAATATTTGAGTTTTCCTCTCTTGTCAAAGAACATACGTGTAGGTAACGCAAAAGTTACTCCGTGAATTTCAGTATCAAAGCTCTTCTCTCAAGTTGTAAAACCGACGCTTTACTTTCAGTGTTTCTCACTAACAAGAAAGACTACTGTTGCTTGGCAAAGCGTAAAAATATGATAGCTGCATAACATTTTGTTGCGCCTTGCTGCGTTTCGTTTTAATGTGAACATACTTATACAAAAGTACACATCGAACTTTGCTGTCAAAGCAAATGCCTGATGCAAAGCGAAGCAAAAGTTTGATTTGCATTGGTCATATCACTTTGCGAATAGTTGGTTTCTTTAGTGAAATAGCTTGTAGCGTGTTGACTGATTCACTACCAACTTGTAGAGTTGATAATTGATTTTTAGAGTAAAGAAGTATGGCATTCGCTAAGAACCAGACTGGCCAAAAAGATGGCGTAATCGAATGTAACCTCAAAGCGAGTTTTTTTGCGCACTTCATACCATTCTTCTATAAAATAACCACGATTTTGATATGTAACTGATGCTGCTATTTAATACTTAAATAATGTAATAACTTTTGTTGATTTCAGCTATATATAGTATATATATTTGCAGCCCTTGCTTTCTTGAAATCACGTTGACTCAAGTGAAGATAGACTTCTTGACTTTAAGACTTTAATTGCTTTCCAGAACCTTTATTCAATTGCCACTTTGGTCAAAACTTTATAAAATCTCTTTGTTTTAATACTTTAAGTATTTTCAATAACCGCGAAGGTACCGATTTATTAAAAAATAATTGCCGGTAAAATATGAGTTGATATGCTAGACCATGGAAAATCGATTTGATTGAAAAAAATCGTATATACTCCAATTATATATCGGAAAACTATGAGCGCAGCTAAACGTGTGTGTTGAAAAACCGTTCATTGTGTTTGTAATGAAAAACACTATATCTACCGTGATATATTCCAGATTATTTTAAAAACATTCGAAGTGTTGTCGCGTATATTTCGAAGCACTCGCGTTCTTTTCTATATTTCTAAAAAGTCACCTAGGAAATTCTAAGTGACATATCGTGCATCCTTCAGTGTAATTTTTGAGAAAAATTTTATTTTATTAAGAATCAGGAAAATGTCGCGCATTTCGTACGTGCTCGTTATACTGGCCTGCTTGAGAGGCTTTTGCGCTGCAAGTTTTCAACTGAAAGTGGATATGCCAATATTGCCCGATATCACACCAATGACTGTACTACGTAAGTGTGCTGAGTTTAAAAATATAAAGCACTATTACAGCGTATATATCTGGATTCAGAAAAATATAAACAAAATTTATTATAAACTAGTGGAAAGTCCAAAAAATGAAGGCTTCTTGATAATTTTGTGCATATGACATTAGTCAAATGAAGCTGAAAGAAATGTTCAACGAAAGTCTGTTTTGTTTGACAAAAATTTCAACTAAAAGCTCATCTAGCTGCTTACTATGTTATATCAAAGAAGTGGGGGGTTTTTTTTAAAGAGATCTTCATTGTTCTTCAAAGATAAACTAGCAGAGATAGTAGAAATAATAACCCAATTTAATGCTTATTTGTTCAGAAAACCTAAAGCTAGAGACATATTGAGGTGTATCTTAGTGTGAGCCAAAAACTAACCCATCGAATTCATGGATTTCCTTTGCTAAAAAACAGTCTTTTTCGAAAAATGTTTTCTCATCTATATATATAAAAGCAAGTTGTGTTAGTTACACCATTTATAACTGAAGAACGGCTGAACCGATTTGGCTGAAAAAGTAATAATTTCAAATTACATGTTTGTAGGAATCATTTGAATATATGCGCACAATTTTAAACAGATTCTTCCTCAAAAATAATACAATTGCTAAGTATTTGGAATAGTAGAATAAAAGTGCAAGCGAATATGCAGTGAAATAGATTATAACTGGCTCAGTAATCAGTCGTTGAGTATGTATAATATTGTACAACGTGCATCCCAAAAGACTGATGTCATAACCTTTCCAGCCGACTTTTTTGTCTTTCCTCGCCAGAGAACCGGTTCATCATGACAATTGGACTTCAGTGGGAAATGATGGAGCTATTTCTCTATTGTCACATACCGACGCAAAAATTCGGTTTTATTACGATTAAAGAGCACTCAAACATTTCTAAAAATCAGTTATTCATTGTTTTTGTTGGATTATCAACTTGCGAGGCACTCAGTTTTCACAGAGCTTTTGCCTCTTTAAGCTTAGCAAATATCTTTTCATCGATGGATATCTCTGAGCCCAAATTCAACAGTATTTTCCCCAAAAAGTAATGCTTTATTTACACACAAAATGGTTTATGATCCATTTCTTTGTAAACTAACACAAGTTGCTTCACAAAAATGCTATATCTCATTAACTAATAGTTAAAATCCAACTAATAGAAATCATATAGATGGTAGTAGTAGTATTATCTTTGTATCAGCGGGTCTTCTAGTATTATATAAAAAAAGAAAAATTTTTTTTAGAATTTTTTTATGTTACTATTAATAAAGAACTTCTGAAATTTTGGGAAAAAAATATTTTAAATAGTTGTAATCAATTCCTTCGTCCAAGTCTTTAAGAATTGTATCTCCAAGACCTGTGTAAAATTTCATGAAGAACGGTTAAGTAGTTCCCGAGAAATCTTGCCAACCGACTTCAAAAACACAGTTTCGAGAAAAACGCGTTTAAAAGCGGCGCACATAGCCTCAAAGCTGTATCTCCGAAACTATCAAGCGAAACAACTCGAAAATTTAGAACAATATTCTAGGGTGTTGTAGAATTTAATAAGACAAGAAAAAAATTCGATTTTTTGAAACCCATAAACCCATGTTAAGAGCTTACAAAGTGAAAAAAATGTAACTTTTTTTAGTGCATTTAAATTAAATGAAAACATTTATTATTTTCCAAACCAACAATTGCAATGTTTAAATATAAATCAATTTGATACACTTTCTGTTTATAAGAAATTTGTCACGCACCTGCATATATCAATTTACGAATTTTGTAACTGTAACTAATGCGAATTGAAACAGTTTCAATAAAAATAGCAATTATTAGTGGTCTAATTGAATCATTTCCGGTATTTACAACCAGTTTGAATTGATATAAAATTAACATGAAAATAGCATTTGCAAGCTGGCAGTGTGCACACAAATCGCATGCGACAAAAATGGGACAAAATATAATATCATGCGATAAATTTAATAACATTTGAGACAAATGCATAGTATTATCCAACTAGGGGATCCGACCATGCGTTGCTGTGGCATACATTTAACACTATTATTCATTTATAAACTATTCATCGTCAGGGTCGAACCAAAAGGAGAAGGGTGTCAGATGAGGTGGCCAGTGTCATTGCACGCTGGGCATACTGCTGTGATATGAAAAATTCTTTCGGAGATTGTACCGTTGCTTTAATCATTGATCTGCCCTGGATTTCGTGAAGATATCTCGTCAAATTAAAAAGCTTTCCATGCAATATTTTAATTTTGATAATTTAGTTTGTATGACAGCTATATGCTATACTGGTACAAATGAGGAATGGTTTTAAGAGATAAAAATGTGTGTTTTAGAACGATTTCTCAAAAACTGAGGGAGTAGCTTGCGTATATTCAGAACCATCTGATCAAATCGCCACAATTTGACATTATTATTTATTTATATTACCTACTTTTCAAGGTCTTCAACGTTTCCTTCTGTCATTTTGTAATTGTGCCTAATTGTTTAAGAAACTCATGATAAGTCTTGGCAAACCTCTAGTCAATTTAGTTGAGAAAGAATTCTAATAATAAAGATAAAAAAAAATGTTACATCAGTTTCATTACCATTTTAGAGGTTATATCATCAGCGGAGAAGAGTAGTTTTTAAGTCTTGGAGGGTTTGCTACTCTTTCTTTTATGGAGAAATAAATTTTTTGAGAGAAATCAATGCTTGCCTTTCCCGACTTGTTTTGCGTGCTTCATAAAAAGTGAGGCCACATAGTGTACCAATTAGGCCAAACGACAATTTCAAAGCAACAAAACTGAAATCGCGAATTTAAATTCGTAATTGATCTAAAGTAAACATTAAAAGTATATGTCAATACTAAAACATACTAACGGCGTTAATTTTGTCTAAACCTAATTAAATTGATGTTAACGAAAGCAAAATCAGAAAAAAACCTAAACAATTAATTGAGAATTACGGAATTTTTATGAGTAAGCTTAAATTTAGATTCTGAATGACACACATACGTAATAACGTTTGAAACATGCTTAGAGCAATGCCAAGGCAATTATGTTGGCGATGTGACTTCGCCGATCCGAGAACGAGTAAACACGTGCGCGTATGTATGCATGTGTGCCAAGGACCTGTGTCACTAACCGCAATGACCACGACAATTAGAATTAGCAATTGAATGTTTTTGTTGTTACTCTCAAAAAGTATTAATGTCACCATTTAAGTTATTTAATTGCTAGCAATATATTATTGCTTAATGTTATTATTACTTACATTGTTTTCATTTATTTTAGCGCCTGGCATACCTACATGCGTGGGCACTAATTTAGATCTTAATGCATGCATTAAAAATGGACTGAAAGAGGTGAAACCACGTCTTAAGAATGGTATTCCTGAATTAAGCATACCACCGCTAGATCCCTTGGTCATAGCAAGTCATAAGGTGGAAATGACCGACGATTTCGCAAAAGGATACTTGAACGTACACAATTTGATTATAAAGGGCATAAGTGAGAGCACTGTGGAGAAGCTAAATCTTGAAATGTATGGCGATCACGTGAAGTTGCAAGTGACTACGAAATCGCCAAGCATTGAGAAACAAGGCACTTTCCAAGGCGAGTTGACGGCAGAAGGTTTGAATCTGCAACCCGAGGGCCAGTTCACTAGCAAATTGAGTAAGTGAAAGAGAAGAGAGAAATTAAGTGTGCACATTTACATGCTTTTCATATTGTTTATTATTAGCCGATTTGCAGCTGGACATCGAGGCCGAAGGTGATCTCACAGAGCGCGATGGGCATAAATACTTGCAATTGAAGTCATTTAATTTAATACCGCAAATCGGTGATTTGGAATTTGATGCCGACAATATAGTACCAGATAAAGGCATAAGTAAGTGTGAAAAAAAGTTTAATTTTTATTAAAAAAAAATAATAATTTATTAAAAAGATAGTAAATGATAATGGTTATATGTTAATTATTAGAAAAAGCTAAAATTCGCAATTTTTTTTTTAATTTTTAATTTTTTATTGATTTTTATTTTTATTTTTTTTTTAATTTTCAGTAGATTTTAGAATGTATTCCTACAAAATTTCACAAGAGATTTATGGAAAATTATTTTTTTAATTTTAGCACTATATTCTTAATTTCATTATTATTATCATTAATTCATTATAAATCGGACAAGATTATTCTACTTCAATTTTGATCAAAGCTTTTTTCCAAAAACAAGAAAAAAATATGTATAAAAAATAATAAATTTATACTCGAATAATTTTAAATAACCTTTAATTAACTGAACGAAATAAAATTAAAATTATTAAAATCTGAAAAGCCTGATAAATGAAATTTTGTTTACATATGAGAAGTTGTATTTATCGCTAAAAATTACAAATCATCGTTCTTAGATTATTTGTAATAATACTTTTTATCGATAATTATAATAAATTATTTATGTAGATATATACTAATCAATTTGTTAATTTTAGCTACGAAGCTGTGAAGTTTATCTAACGAAAAAATTATTTCCCTCCGAATTTCAGCGAAACTGGTATTTTTTATTTACAACTTTTAACCGATATTTTGTTTTAATTTTTGTTGTTATATTGAAGAGCTTATTTTGATATTTTGTCCTTTTATTTTCAATCGATATGCAAAATAATTTTTAACGTTTGAAGTAAAAATTGTTCTTCCTATGTTTCGATATTTCGCCCTTTTATTTTTATATCACATTTATCGACAACTTCATTTTAATTTTTTTACAAATACCTTGCCTTTATGATATTTTTGGTATTAATTTATTTTATGGTTTATCGATATATAATCCGATATATTTTCAAAATTATTTTTATCGATAAATATAAATTTCGCAGTTCTATGTGAAACTTTTCTTATCTAAAGCTCTATTTATCAAAGTAAGAAACGTTGATTTTAACGTAATTCCTTAATTAAAAAACAATTTATCGATAAATATCGCTTATTTATTATTTTCGATTTCAACGATATGAAATCTGATAATTTTTTTCTATCAAATGTTTGTCGAAAAACATAAAATTATCCCTCTTTTAATTTTTATCCCGCTATTATGGTATTTTCTATGTTTATTTCTTACAATTTTTATCGATATATAATTCAATATTTTTTAAAATAATTTTCATCGATAAATATATGTAAGTTTCTCAATACTATTGTACAATTTTCTTATCGAAAGCTTTTTTTATTAAAGTAGAAGAAATTTGATTTTAAGGAAATTCTTAAATTAAAAAATTTCCATAAATATCGCCTATCGATGGATATAAAATTATCTCCTTTTCAATTTTTACCTTGTTTTACTGGTATTTTCTATATTAATTTCTTTTAAAGTTTATCAATATATATTCCGATATTTTTCAAAAATTATTTTAAATTTATATCTATCGGTTGTATTTTTAAATTTTCTTATCGAAAGCTTTATTTTTCAAAATTAAAAATGTTGATTTTAAGAATAAAAAATATTTTATCGACAAATATTGTTTATTCATTCGTTTCAATTTCATCGATAAAAAATTAAATACTTTTTGCTTTCAAATGTTTATTGATGAATATAAAATTATATTTTTTTAGATTCTTAAGGTGTTTTTTATACATTTCATTTATATATTTTTTTTATTTTTCTTAAATTCTGTTATAGCATTCAGCTCACGGCATAACTTTTTTAAGCCAATTAAAAAATACAACAAACTCATAGAAAGTCTTTTTCTTATTTATTTTTAGATTCAGTTATTTTGGCTGTTATAAATGCACATTGGCGTCCATTCTATAAATTACTGGTAAAAGAAATGCGCACAACTTGGGAGCCAATTGCTTTGTTCGTAGCTAATGCATATTTGAACGCTGTGCCATTTGACTTGTTCATTGATACGCCTTAAGAAAGTACCTTACTAAAACACTTATTGATATATAATGCTTTTATAAATATTCTATAAATGTTTAATCGAATTAAATGTACACGTTGGTAATAAAGGAGTTCTGCAATAATAAATTAATTTCATTTCAGCTGGTACTCGTATTTAAAGTGTTAAATCCACTTGTCGATTATACAAGTCGGAATGTTTTGTTTGTATATATTATATAACGAATGTAGATACATATATTCGAAAATATTCTCAAAAAATTTTTAGTTTATCCAGCAAATATGTAGGCTTCCTCTTATATTTTGCGATTTGGCAACTCTAGGGCTGCAATCTGGCAACTTACAACTTTATCGTAAAGTTTGAAATGTTTGATGTTATACATACATATTCAGAATGTTTTGAAATACGAGCGCTATTTGCGTTGTTTACAGAAACTTGGAATATTCATCTCGGTGAAAAAGATGGAACTGAATGGCGAACATTTTTTCGTGATTATCACGTGAGCTATCGTGAGACTGGTCCAATATTCATACAATATTGCGTGAATATTTGACTGTAAATAAATTGTTCACATTGGACATGTCGCAAACCTGCCGCAGAATATTCAATTCTGAGTGATTCACAACCATTTGTTTGTCTGTTGTCTTTCAAGAAATCAGGAAAATAACTGCATTTTTGATCAAGAAAAACATTGATTTGATGAGTTATCCGTTGTATAGTCTTCACTTGGCACTAAATGACTTCTTTTATGCAGGTATGTGAACTCCAGCATGACTTCTAGTGCTGTGAATGGGCAAGCGCGCATTGCCGCTGAAGCCCAGAAGCAGGCGTGTCTTTGCAGCTTCGATAGTTGAAGGCCTCCCAAAAACTGCGAGCCTTCGATTTCCAAGTAATCGCTCCATAAGTGACAATAATTCTGACGATTATGGTATACAACCACCTGATGATAACTGGATTACAGCCCTGGGATCTGCGGTTAGGCGTCTGCGTATCATGAGGGATTGGCGGTTCTGAACAGTGTTAACTCATTTCATTTAGCAGCCTTTTCCTCCCTAAAGTTGAGTCTAATGTTAGACATAGGTATTTGACCTCTTTAGATATTTTCAACTCCTTGGCACCAAGTGTTAGGGAAGAGATATTTACTTTGAAAAAGGGATGGCGATTATTTTTGACGGGTTGATATTTTATCTTACCGTATTGCACTATGGGGCTGACAGTTCGAGAAGACTCCGGGAAATGTCTAGAGCACAGCACCAGGGAAACAATGGAGTAGCTCTTGTGCAATTATCTTGCATTGACAAGACTGCGCTGTAAGCATCTGGGGTCTTCACAGTATGATACACTAGAGGAGGTATAGAAAGCGAGGCCAAAGAGGCTGTTAAAATTTGCAGTCATCATAAAGGATGACTACTCCACATGGATCTAGTAACTGAACTCCAACTGGTGTCATAAAAGGCCAAACTGGTCAATGCGTGGCTCATTTGCCTACTAGACTAACTCATACTAACCTATGTAGATAACTGAACGAAAACATATATATTTAAAACACTTTTCACTTATCACACTCTCCCTACTTAATTTCCATTTATTGAGGGCTTAGAAGCCCCATTATTATTAACTGTGTAACAAACATAACCTTATTTAATTATTCCAAATAAACCACTTTTTATATGAAACAAATGCATTTGTGTAAGTGAGCGTAAGTGCCGTGTATTAAATAACATATAAATTGGTTTTACAATTATGTAACCTGCATACACGTACAAAAGCTGCATGCTGGACATATGGCCAATAATTGAGCATCGGATCGTGCTTTGAAATGCAGATATTTCAGATTGCGCTATGACACACAAATAAACCGCATATATTAATATGATATGTATACCGATTTATATGAGTATATGTACAGACATACATATATAATAGTTAGCCGGTTAGTTTTGTATGTTTGCAAGTAAAATCGCAAGACATTATAATCAAATCAATTTTGTTTTTATTGGAAGGTGCCATAAAACCAGCTGCAGCAATGCAGTGGCATTCAGAAGCCGGTCAGTTGTGGACGCGTCCACCCAGTGTTTTGTGGTGCATTTATTAAACGTTAAAAGCATACTAAAGTGTTTGAACTACATTTGGGATTTTCACAGCTCATGCACGCCTATAAATCATTTGAAAAACAATAAAGAATCAAACAACAGAAGTTCAGTGTTTAATAAAAGTACAAAAATGTATTTAAGACAAGTTTTGTGTCACGCGTGTGTTTTCGTTTTTTTATTCTGGGCCGTGCGCGCACAAGATGTGACCACAGCATCAACAGCAGCAACATCAACCAGTGGTGCATTAGAAACATCAGCAACAACAACAAGCACTACATTAGAGGGCGTTAGCACTGCTGAAATATCAAGCACCGCCAGCTCTGTGCCTATAAATACCCCTCCAACAACAATTTCTGTTAAAACGAGTGATGAGAGTGAAACAGTAGACAGCGCTACGAGTGCTAATGCAGCAGTGGGTGCTTCGAAGCCGAAGAAATATTTCACAGGTTAGAAAAAGATTAATAATTGATTTATAAAGTGAGTAAAATTATTTTACGAAAATGTAGGAAAAGTGTTGAAAAGCAATTTAGCAGAAAATTCGAAATTTAAAATGACTATTCAGGAGACATCCAAAATAATATTGGGTAGTCGATAAAGTATCACATTGTTACATACATTGCCGTGTTGAAAAGATGATATTTTAAGCTTCATTTAATCAAAAATTAATTTCAGGGAAGTTGAAAAAAAGTAACAGTTGTTCAAAAATGAGTGAAAATAATGAAAAAATTCGACTGGCTAACCTTAAATAAAAAATATACCTGAAACATTTGTTTTGTTACCTACAACATTGTATATTAAGTTCGGCGTGAACTCTCTCTGCCTGCCTATATATACATGATCTAATCCTTCTGTTTTCCAGACATCGATAAAAATTTTGCATACGTCCTTCTCTCGCCGAGAAGCTATTTTTTGCCAATATCTGTCCACTATAGCATATAGCTGCCATATAAACCGACCTATCAAAATCAGGTTCTTGTATGAAAACCTCTTTTATTTGGCAAGGTATCTTCACGAAATTCGGCATAGTTTATTATTCAAAGTAACGCTATAATTTCTGAACAAATTGGTCAGATCGGCGCACTATAGTATATATAGCCATACTAACTGACCCATAAAAATGCAATAAGGTTCTTGTATGGAAATGTTGCTTATTTGCCAAAATGTCTTCACAAAATTTACCATAGGCTATTGCCTAAAGCATTGCTACAATCTTCGAATATATTGATCTGATTAGAAAACTGTAGCATATAGCTGTCATATTAATTGGAGTCTAGTTATTGTATGTAAAATTTTTTATTTGACTAGATATGTTCCCTAAATTTGATATAAATTATAATCCATCGCAAGGCTATGATATCTGAAGATATTGTTTGGATCGGACTACTATAGCATATAGCTGCCATACAAATTGACAGACTAAAATTAAAAGAATAATATTTTTTTTAGTCTATAATAAATGTATCTTGGAAGGGTGTTATAAATTTGGTGCAGCCGAAATTAATGTTTTACTGTTTTTAAATTCAAATCAGCAGTTTTGTAGCACTTTTTTAAATTCAAATCCGTTGTCAAGCAGACGAACAGTACGATTGCCACACATGTATGTATATATTTTGTAGTCGGAAAGTCTTTTCATATTTCTAATCAAGCTTGAACCTATTTTTATTTATAATAATAAATAAATAAACACTGTACCATTTTGGGACCACTTTTTGCTATATACGAAATACTTTTTCGACTACTCAATATTACCTACAAATAACCACGACCATCACTTATGATATTAGATATTTCTGTGCGCTTTTAAGTCTAATTCTACCATGAATGCTTAAAAACATTACATATAAACTAATTACAAGCACATAATTATCAAATTACTAATTCGCCGCACACCGTGTCGTATGAGTAACCTCCATTGCTGCTAACCTTACATGACCTGTTTCGATACATCAGATGCTTTATGCTATATTTACTGATTTTGATTATTGCTGAGCATGAAATATTGAAATAATTTTGCCTAAAATAAAACTATAATTAAAAAAAAAAAATTAAAGAAAAATACGACAAAAGTATATATTAGAAAAAAAAGCGTAGTATTGACGGCTTTGTTAGTGTAAAAACAATCAGAATCAATTTATTTACATATTGCAAAATAATAATTCGACCTCCACACAATTCAAAATCAAATGCGATAATTGATTTCAGCTTTTAACGGACAAGTTCTTAATTTCATGCGCGCTGTAGCGCAAGTATGTGTATATGTACATATGTATTTATTACATATGTGCTCAGCTGTAACCATTAGCACGACTTATTTCTACTCAGCCAACCGCGTGCGTGTGTTGCTATTAGTTACTTACTTACATTGTACCCACTAAACCGCGCAACAACAACAGCACTATCACTTGTAGCGCGTCATAATCGCAGCAGCCATTTAAATGAAGGTCAGCCGCTTCGAAGACAGCATTTCATGCGCACAATTGTGTGACCTTTGATATGTGCTGATTACGTGCCTACTAACTAATTCACAATTATCCATTCTAAGATCACTTCGTACACAGATGAATTTATGATATTGTTGCAGAGCAAATTGCGTAGGCCTTTTCGTTCTGCGCAAGTTAATAACGCGAATACTAGTTCATTGTTGTAATTATAAATGTACATATAAGTGTGTGTTTGCTTGAATATTATAGTGCTTAATTTGCGCTGAAATAATACGCTAGATGTTGTTAGCTTTTTCACATATATATTTACTAAAGTAGCGCTGATAAGTTTAGACTAAATTTATGACTCATAACATTGTATTATATTATAGTTGTAAGATAAAATGTGAAATAATGAAAGTGAATAAGCTCGAAATGTTTTCTGTGAAGATATGCACAGACCAGTTTAGTCTTTTGCGAGACCAGATGGAGTTCAGTTGCTAAGTAAGAGCAATCATCGTTTGGGATGACTGCGCTTGACACGAATTTTAACAGACTCTGTAGCCTCACTATCGATATATCCTTCCTGCGCTACAAGTGCGCAGTCTTCTCGATTTGCTAGCATGTTCTTCCGAAAAACAACGTTCAAAGCTCGCATTCGTCACAGGGAGTGTACGGTAGTCCGTAACACTGACAATGATCAAGTTCAACTTTACGCTTCCAACGTGCATCGACGTTGTCAGTATTCCAAAGGCCTTTGAATTTATTTATTAATAAGATTTTCCATTTCTTTGGTTTTTAAAGCACATACTTTTTCTGGAAGCAGCAAAGTTAATGCTCTTCTAGAAAAGCGGATTTTCAAATCTTCGCCTATTTATCCAACAGAGGCATGTAAATTCAGACCCTGCAGTATTTTCACGCAGGCATTTTAGTGTTTTATTTTTCGGTACTGGTTTCGGAACATTACAAGTAGCGTTTCTATCATATCTGATGCCTTTGCCAGATCGATTGATTCTTTCTGAAGAATCACACTGAGCTAATGAGTTAGAGATAGAATATCACATAGACAAAAAATATCAATTCTAAATTGAAATTTGCACATGGCTGCGATGATGTCCCTCATTCAATCTCTGAATCCGCCACTGGTATATAAACACTTAAATTAGGCATCTGAAAAAGAAACTTCGCTTCCACATTACATTCACTCGCACGAAATTTCCGTATACCAGTTAGTGTGTTCCTTTTGATTGGCAAATGTTGATTTTCTCATGCTAGTTCAAGAAATCGGCGGCTAAAGCATATTGGAATACCAAAAAGTTTACGGAGGTGCTGCTCCAAGTAAAAAATTAGTTTCGCTATTAACGGCCACCCGGGTGAGGAAGGCCGAAAACCCGCAACGACGGTGGAATGGAATGGTTGGAAATGTTCGTCGACGAAGATCCATGTCAAATGAAACAAGAGCTTGTTAAAGCATTGGTAGTCGCCAGCTAAGCCATTTCAAAGTGACTATATGTGCTTATGACTGCAATGCAAGGACAGGTACAAAATAGTAATTCTGCTACATGACAACATTCGGCCTCACGTTGCCAAACCCGTTATAATCTAACTGAAAAAGCTTAAATGGGAAGTGATACCTCACCTGCTATATTTCCCAGATATTGCACTGACAGTAATGTTAATGTCAAAATCATCAAATGAAAATTTGTTCAGAAAGTTTTATTACCGCTTGTCATTAATGTACTGTCTGGGTTCAGAAACTTAAAATGTTAATAATTTTTTTTTTGAAATATTTGTTTCTTAGTTTTAGGTATGTTTTTTTATAGCCACTAGCTCGACTTTTGAACAAAAAACCACAAGATTCGAACGACTATAAAATGGAATCAAAACGTAGTTAAGAAAGGCAGATTTTATACCTATAATTGTACTCATAAGAAAGCCATTTATTCCCAATTTTTCAGTATTATTCAACAGGGCTTTATGTTTTATTGTCCATTCAGCTTTAAATCGTGATCACAAAAAAACAATAAGTTTTATAATAAAAGCGAAGGGATTTATATAAAATCCAAAACCTTATGAAATTAGCATTCTATACATAGATCGCAAATCTTATTCTTCTACTTCTACTTCTGACGATGTCATTGTCTATTCGAACACACCATATAGCTATTTGTTCGTCGGGAGAGACTCTACTTTTCAATTGCCTACTCAGTTCGAAGTAGCATCTTTTATCGATAGTGATTCTGTGTTGGTTTCTAAAGAGCCAACGTTCCAAGACGAAATTGTCTACGACTTCAAATTTATGACTGTCAAAGTGCAAGTTCTGGTGTGACAAATGTTTGTATGATGTCAAGAGACATTTTATCTTCTCCTCGTTTGCAGATCACCACCTTAAAATGATTATAAAAAGAAATAAGTGAATAATGCTGATTTCATTGAGGAAATTGAATATTTTAATTGCTTTCACATTTTACTAATTTCTTTTCCCTATTATTTATTTATTTTCCAGTTGGCGATCTACCCGTTTGCAAACAAAGCAGCCCCGAATTCAATGACTGCGTGAAAAATCTCGTACAAAAGTCCTTGCAACGGCTGAAAAACGGCGATCGCGATTTGAATATACCGATAATCGATCCTTACAAGCTAAATCGCACGACATTTCAGTATACCAGTGGCACCATACGCGGACGCATAATTATGCGTGATGGGCTCACATATGGGTTCTCGAAAACGGAAATCAAATCGCTCGACTTAAAAATAAACGGTGATAAAGTTTCTATGAAATCGCTCTCATATGTGCCAGTGATAAATATCGTGGGCAATTACAAGGCAGAATTAATACTAAACAATATACAATTGCGGCCCAAGGGTGTCTTCAATGTGTCGCTGGGTGAGTTGCTATATTTGAGGAATGTGAATTTAATGCAATATTTTGTTGTTGTTGTTATTTGTAGTGGATGTGAATATTGACCAAACACATGAGGGTACTTTCTACGAAGCGGATGGTCATCGTTTTGTGCGCATGCGCAGATTCGACGCTGAACCGAAAGTTGGCGACTTTAAGCTGTCGGCTACTGGTGTGTTTCCCGATCCAACATTGAGTGAGTGAAATTATTTATTAAATTAGGAATGTATTAAATATAATCTTTTTTTTTTTGCAACACGTCAATACTGGGGACCATTGCTGCTGCAACAACTCAATGATGTTATGTCTGTTGTGCCATATGATATTTTTGTTGTTGATTAATATTTTTAGAAAGACAGCGGTTTTTTAAGTTGTATCGTTCGGTTGTTGTGTAAATTATATAGAAGCAGAGCAAGTTTGGCGTTTAAGTCTTTTGTAAAAAATTTCACTGGTAGATGTGTGTGGTTGGGTATGTGTGCAAAATGAAAAAAATCTGGAGAGTATTAAGTGGTTGCTAATATAACGACTTTGATATTTTAATGCAATCGCATTTTTTTATTTTTAATAAAAAAGAAATTCAAATGATAAGCGTTTTTGTTGAGATTCGAGAGATGATCATAGTCACGTGTGTATAAACACGAAACACTGTCACGAGTAGGTAGTAAGAACTGGTACTCATTCAAAATGCATGCTTAGCAGTAAATAATATGATTAAAAATATGTGTGCATATATAATATATATATATGTGTGTAATGTGTGTGTGATAAGCCGATTCGATTTAGACCGCTGTCATTCTTTACATACGTGAATTAGAACGTCAGTTTGTGAAATATTGATCTGAAATTTTGCGTTCGTTCTTGGCTTCCCAAGAAGCTGTTTATTTGCTAGAATCACCAATATCGGATCAATATAACATATAGCTGTCATACATACTGATCGTTTAAAAACCGGTTCTAGTATGGAAACCTCTTTTATTTGACTAAATATTTTAATGAAATCTTGCATAAAGTATAATTAAAGGCAAACCTATAATTTCCGAAGAAACTGTTCAGATCGGCCGCCTATATATTAGAGCTGCCATACAAACCGGCTGGTCAATAACAAGTACTTGTATGAAAAACTTTTTTATGTGACAAGATATTTTCACAAAATTTGGCGGAAACTATTGTTCAAAGTAACACTACAGTTTCCACAGAAATTGTTCAGATCGAACCACTATAGCATATAGCTGCCATACAACCGACTTATAAAAATCAGGTACTTGTATGACAAACTTTTTTATTTGACATGATATTTTCACAAAATTTGGCATAAACTATTGTGCAAAGTAACGCTACCATTTCCATAGAAATTTTCAGATCGAACCATATAGCATATGGCTGCCATACAAATTTAACGATCAAAATCAAGATGAAAAGATTATCTTTTTATGACATAAGCAATGTACCTGTGAAGTGTAGTATAGCTTCGGTTCAGGCGAAGTAACTGTTTCTACTTGTACACGCTTTTCCAATTCCAACAATTTCATGTTCATATATATATATTTATTTTTTCATTTGTAACTACAAGTGTTCTTAGACAGCTGTCAATTACAATTGTCTGGCGCACTTAATGCCCGCATATATGTACGTTGTTTGCTTCGGAAATTACTTCAAATTTAATTAGCAATTAAGCATGCAAAATCATTTACGTATTCTGTATACATATTGCCACACTTTTTGTTTGTAAGCTTTCATTTACATATTTTACTAGCTTCTTATGAGGGCACATAAAGTTTGGATATTAAAATTAGATTGTGCACAAATTGTTTAAAGATAATAATTTAAAGATGATCTGAATATGCTCCCGTAATTGCAATATTGATATACTAATTGTAAGTAAATCGAATAAAATAAAAATTATTCTCTGCCCTACGGATAGTGCAGTCGGGCATCAAAATTCAATAGTATAAAATTTCCTCTGCGATTATATACATAATTTTATAGTATATGTATGTGCGGTACATAGGAGCATATACGCTGTGTTCATATTCAGCGTTTCGTGAATTTTACGGTCATGCACTTCTGGCAACATTCGCGTGACTTTTTCTTAAACTTTGCAATCTATACTATTAATAAGCGAGTCACGTTTCACCTTGAAAAATGGTAAAATGGTAGAAAAGGTAATTTTTGCAGCTGTATACATACAATTATTTGCGTATACATAGGAGTGAACCTTAAATATTTTTTTTTTAATATATACTCTTTTTATTAATGTTTGGGTGAACTACTCTTCAGTGGCTTTGAGATGTTCGGAACTTCAGTTTGTTAAAGAAATTAAATGCTCGACAAGCGGTTAGTCGTTTATCTAAAGAACTTTCATGAGAAGCATACTTATATTATTTCAAACTTGCCTAAAGTTTAGGGTTCCGAGGGCAATCTTGCATGGTCTAGATAGATAGCAGAACAACGTAATTTTTTTCCATACAGAATATTTAGAACGTATTTGTCTTACCCCTATATCACATTTTGATTTAATGTTTATTGCCTTTTATTATTAAAGTTTGTACTTCTGTTACAAATTTAGCTAAGTTTGGTACTTTCTGAGTTCCTAACATGCTTAGAGTTTGCTATTCCAAAACCTTCAGGATTTTTTATGAGAAATGCGTCGAAAAAGTCAATGGCATATAAACACCAAATCCGTCTACTAACCGAATATCTTGAGAATTATTTATATTAAGAATAATAGCGCCAGTTACCCATTTCATGTTCTTGCGATAAAGTTTTTAATGATATATATGCTGAATGATTTACAAGTAAATGTATCGGCTTACTGTAAGCGTTAATAGCAGAGCAGTTCAACTCAGGCCACTTACATCCTAATCAGTCTCTGAGGGTCATTATATTTATAATGAATCAAGAGAAATTTTTGATCACATTAAAGGATTATGTCAACATCCAAAAGAATAAAAATGTTCATGGAAAGACTTGTTGCACAATTTCTGTAAGTGTTCCTGAAAAAACTGTATGCATTTGTCATTGAGATCATACAAGTTTTTAATATTGAATTTACGTTCACGTTTCACACTCGAAAATATTTATGTGTAACTGCTGTACCATTATGCCTCTATCTCCTTTTAATGACAACCAATATATTGAGTAGTCAAAAACGTATTTTAGTATTTCTAATCAAATTTCATCCTATTTTTCGTTTTGTATTTATAAAAAGCTCTAATGAACAAATAGGTATCATTTTTGTCGACCACTTTTTGCAATTTGCTTCTAGAGACACTATTCTATCAGTGTAAAACTTTTCTGATTTCTCGACGAAAAACTGCGACAAGTAATTACAGGGTTTGCTTGAAGCTAACTTAACTCCATTACGGGAGTTCTGCATTGACCAAAATAAATTGTAGTAAGATGGTGTAAGATCAGGGATAAGCTTACGAGGCGACAATCTTGGCTTTGCAATCATTTGTTGAGCTTCACCAAGCTTAGACCATGATCTTTTTCGCACATTATTGTCGTATTTGATCTACTTTGCGTCTCCTGTTATCATTCGCTTCAGAAATGGTTTGATTTAATTTCGGTTTAGCAAAGAGAGGGTCCATTAATATTCTCACAGACAATTCATGTGACACCCAAACATCGAGCTTCTTTTTGTAGTCAGCCTTTTCTAAATGGCTTAAAAACGATGAATGTTAAGTTCATTAGCATTGTCATGGCAGCTAATGTGATGGCCCTTTCTATCTTTTTGAATCGTTGGTTGAACAGAGCGAGGTGCATCTTTCACATCGAAATTTTCAGAACGGAAGCAAGCGACAACCATTGTTGTGCTACACAAACTGATCACAGAATCGTCTCCGAAAAATTCAAAAATTTCATTAGTGCCTTGCATGGCATTCTTCCCTTTTTATATAAAATAAATAAAAATTTCTAAATTATTAATTTCTAAATATAGAGAACTTCTTCACTTATTTTTGAACAGCCGGAGCAGGAAGTTTTTAACTTTCCCCAATTTATTTCCAACATTTCATGTACAATGTAATTGGTAGCACTAGAGATATACGAAGATTGAAGATTCCCTGCAATATATAAAATATTGTGGCCAAAAATTTAATCAGTTTTACTACAATAGTGTCTGAGGATTATTAGTTAAAAGTGTATTTTATATTAGAGGCAATGCGATATTATATCTGCATATACCATAGTGGGATCTAGGCACTGGCAGCATACCTGTCAGCATACCTGTAAGTTATTGAAAGCTTTTTATTAATGTAAAAATAAACAGATGTTATATTCATTTCAGTGGTTTTACCCGACATACTCTGTTTATTTAAAAGTTGCACTCACGTTGCAATTGGTGTAAATATTATTTCATTAATGTTTGCTAAGTGAAAATAACAAATATTACCAAAGTAAACTTGCTGAGTCATAATTGTAGGCTGTCAATTGCGATGTGTGGAAAAATTAAATTTCAACAGCTTCATGAAAACGTAAGCAAGAAAACCTGTTTGAAAACAAAATCATTAGCCAAGATAATTAACATCGGTAGAAATTGAAATAATAAGTATGTTACAAAAACTAGTTTTTGAGATAGTACTTTTATTTTTATACAATATGTAAAAAAATTTTGACCTTAGATATATAATTAGAAATCGTTAAAATTTGACATATTGACAAACTTACTCCACGTTTTTGTTTAATTTTATTATTAGTTAATTTAGTTTTTTATCAATAAAAATTCGAAAATCGCTGTCAGATAATAACCAGTATATAACAATTTTATAACCAAAACTCAAATTTTGTTTCACTTTGAGTGGTAAACTCATGAAAAATTATGTTAATTTATTGTGCATTGTAGATGATGATATATAAGTTGCAATTATGGCAAGTGAGTAGAGAATCCTCAAATCATATTAGATGCTCTTCATTCATACCTGATTATAGTTTATGTTAAGAAGAGAAGAAATTGGAGAAACAGCAGTTGTCTCTATGGACCCCTGAAAGTTACTTTGTGATTAAACAGAAATAAACCCAGTTAACTACCTGACAAAGAATATTTATTCGCTCTCATTTCTTTAAACTGAATACTAAAATTGACCCAGCAAAAAACTGTAGTTTTAGGTATTATAATAAACACCTTCATTATCGCCTAAAAATAGACTACTATTAAGTCAATATAAGTTTGTCAAGTCTTAATCCAATTTTTCATCCGTATGTTATAAGCCTCAGGTGGGGTTACTTTCAGTATCTTGACGAATTTTGGTTTTTCTGTTGCGGTTAAATTTTGGACTGTCAGTCCCTAGATTGCTGTATAGTTTCGACCTCATATTTATAAGTGCTGTCAAGCATCCTTTTAAGAAGCTTTATTGAATGTAATTTTTGCAAAATATTCGGGTGTTCCTAAATGTGTTGACAGGATTCAGAAGAGATACTGAGATCCTCTATTATTTCTCTGAGGTCAACATGACAATTATCGATGTTGATTTCATTAACAGAGATGGATGGACGACTCGGATGAGAC